CCAGTTTAACCATCAACTGTACCAAAATATATTTGCAGAGCTGATTATTTTTTAATTTTCTCTGGAATCAATTAATTAGCGTAACAATTTTAAAAGATATTTTCAGCAAAGAGTCAAAATATGATACATTTTAACTAACCATTTTGTCTTGGAAACTCCCTTACCTATAAATTATTCTGGAAGAAATAAAAATTCTGTTTTTTTCTCTTTGAAAAGTACAAGACGGATCTCTTTCTTGTACAATATCATCTATCAACATGTTGGTGGCTCATTGTCAGGAGAGTTTTCAATGACTCTGTTAAACAGTAAATATGATCAGATTTCAAAAAATATGTGCTATGTACAGCTGGATATTGGAGGGATGACATACCTTCACACTGAGTGCCCTGAAAGCCAGTAGGACAGTCACAAAAGAATCCACCACTTGCACTTTGGAAACAATTTCCACCATTCTGACAAGGTGATGACTGGCAGGGATCTGGCATGATAGTCACATACAAAAATCATACAAAAGTCAACTCAATACTCACACTGACAGCGAATCATTACCAAAACTGAAGATCACTGAAACTATTTCTTTGATATACTCCACTTTCATACAAGTACGATCTAGCTTACATACGCTGGGCTAGCTGTAAACTCTCACTGAAAACCTTGCAGAAGTAAGGTTTGCATTAATTGTCAAAGATCAAAAGTGAAGAGGAATCAAAATGTCTTCAAATGTTTCAGTTGAATACCTAATTGAAGGAAGGGCCCAAATGCAACAAAATGTTTTTTGAGTTCAAAAGAAAAAGTAAGTATTTTTTGAAGGAGTTGCAAGGAAATCAATTAACTCTCCCAGGACAAAATGGTGACATTGGGCCTTTCTTTAACCCTAACTCCTGCGGGTGTGTGCAAAATCACATTAAAATTAGAGGATTCAGGAATGTTAGGGTAAATGTGGTATTCAACTATTAACCTACCTGTTGGCATGTCACAGTTGGTTCCAGTGAAACCGGTGTTACAGGTGCATGAATAGGAAGTACCATCTGTGCTAGAGCAGACTCCATTTTGACATGGGTTGCTTGAACAAGGTGCAGAAACTGAAACAAGGATATGTCTCAGGTTAAAAGGTCAATTACATTAGGAATGTTTTTGAAACTTAACCCATTTTCTGTGCTAGTTTAGCTATCAATTGTATCAAAACATATTTGCAGAGCTGATTATTTTTTAATTTTCTCTGGCATCAATTAATTAGCAAAACCATTTTCAAAGATAATTTCATCACAAAACCTACATATGATCCATTTTAACTAACCATTTTGTCTTGGAAACTCCCTCACTTTCACAATCAATTAATCTGGAAGAAATCCAATTTTAGTTTTTTCTCTTTAAAAAGTACAAGACGGATCTCTTTTTTATAAAATGGGATCTATCAAAGTTGGGAGGCCCAAAGTCAATAAAGTTTCCAATGACTCAGTTCAGCACTTACAATTCTATTTAAAAAATATGTGCTATGCACAGCTGGATATTGGAGGGATTTGAAGATGACATACCTTCACACCGAGTGCCCTGAAAGCCAGTAGGACAGTCACAAAAGAATCCACCACTTGCACTTTGGAAACAATTTCCACCATTCTGACAAGGTGATGACTGGCAGGGATCTGGCATAACAGTCACATACAAAAATTATGACAAATAGTCAACTCAATAGCACAGCGAATCATTAACAAATTGAAGTGGCGATACTTGATGTAATGTCAAAGATGACAATTCAAAAGTTCTTTAGAAGTGTGTCCAGACTACCGAATTGTTACCCTACCTATTGGCATGTCACAGTTGGTTCCACTGTAACCGGTGTTACATGTGCATGAATAGGAAGTACCATCTGTGCTAGAGCAGACTCCATTTTGACATGGGTTGCTTGAACAAGGTGCAGGAACTGAAAAAAGGATATGCCTCAGGTTAAAATGTTACTAGCATAAGGAATGTTTTTAAACTGAACCCAATTTCTGTGTCAGTTTAACCATTAACTGTACCAAAATATATTTGCAGAGCTGATTATTTTTTAATTTTCTCTGGAATCAATTACTTAGCGTAACAATTTTAAAAGATATTTTCAGCAAAGAGTCAAAATATGATACATTTTAACTAACCATTTTGTCTTGGAAACTCCCTTACCTATAAATTATTCTGGAAGAAATAAAAATTCTGTTTTTTTCTCTTTGAAAAGTACAAGACGGATCTCTTTCTTGTACAATATCATCTATCAACATGTTGGTGGCTCATTGTTAGGAGAGTTTTCAATGACTCAGTTAAACAGTAAATATGATCAGATTTCAAAAAATATGTGCTATGTACAGCTGGATATTTGGAGGGATGACATACCTTCACACTGAGTGCCCTGAAAGCCAGTAGGACAGTCACAAAAGAATCCACCACTTGCACTTTGGAAACAATTTCCACCATTCTGACAAGGTGATGACTGGCAGGGATCTGGCATGATAGTCACATACAAAAATCATACAAAAGTCAACTCAATACTCACACTGACAGCGAATCATTACCAAAACTGAAGATCACTGAAACTATTTCTTTGATATACTCCACTTTCAAATACAATCTAGCTTATATATGCTGGGCTAGCTGTAAACTTTCACTGAAAACCTTGCAGATGTAAAGTTTGCATTAATTGTCAGAGATCAAAAGTGAAGAGGAATCAAAATGTCTTCAAATGTTTCAGTTGAATACCTAATTGAAGGAAGGGCCCAACTGCAACAAAATGTTTTTTGAGTTCAAAAGAAAAAGTAAGTATTTTTTTAAGGAGTTGAAAGGAAATCAATTAACTCTCCCAGGACAAAATGGTGACATTGGGCCTTTCTTTAAAGAAGTATTCAACTGTTAACCTACCTGTTGGTGTATCACAGTTGGTTCCACTGTAACCGGTGTTACATGTGCATGAATAGGAAGTACCATCTGTGCTAGAGCAGACTCCATTTTGACATGGGTTGCTTGAACAAGGTGCAGAAACTGAAACAAGGATATGTCTCAGGTTAAAATGTCAATTACATTAGGAATGTTTTTGAAACATAACCCATTTTCTGTGCCAGTTTACCTATCAATTGTACCAAAATATATTTGCAGAGTTGATTATTTTTTAATTTTCTCTGGAATCAATTAATTAACGTTACAATTTTCTAAGATAATTTCAGCATAAAACCAAAATATAATCCATTTGAACTAACCATGTGGGCTTGAAAACTCCCTCACCTCCACAAACAATTATTCTGGAAGAAATCCAAATTCTGTTTTTCTCTTTGAAAAGTAAAAGACAGATCTCTTTCTTCTAAAATGTGACCTATCAAAATTTGGGAGGCTCAATGTCAGGCGAGTTTCCAACGCCTCAGTTTTAGTACGTAAGACTCTATTTAAAAAGTAAAATGTGCTGTGCACAGCTGGATATTTGGAGGGATTTGAAGATGACATACCTTCACATCGAGTACCCTGAAAGCCAGTAGGACAGTCACAAAAGAATCCACCACTTGCACTTTGGAAACAATTTCCACCATTCTGACAAGGTGATGACTGGCAGGGATCTGCCATAATAGTCACAGACAAAAATCATGATAAAGTTAACTAAATATGCACAGCGAATCATTAACAAAATTGAAGATCACTTAAATGATTTCTTTGATATACTACACATTCATAGCAGTAAGATCAAAGGTTAAAGCTTACACATGCTGGGATAGTTGTAAACTTTCACTGATAATCTTGCAGAAGTGACGTTTACTTTAAATGTCAAAGATGACAAGTCAAAAGGTTTTTCGAAGTATCTTCAGACTACTGAATTGTTACCCTACCTATTGGCATGTCACAGTTGGTTCCAGTGAAACCGGTGTTACAAGTGCATGAATAGGAAGTACCATCTGTGCTAGAGCAGACTCCATTTTGACATGGGTTGCTTAAGCAAGGTGGAGCCACTGAAATAAAGATATTATCAACGTCTTAAATGACAACTTTACCAGAGCCTTTTTTTTAAACTTATCACATTTTCTGTTCCATTTTTACTAAGAGTTTGGTAATGGCATTAAACTACCAAAATGTACTTGCAGTAAAAAGAGCAGTGAGGATGGGGAACAATTGTTATTCAATTCAATTCTACAGCCGTTTTGTATTGGGATCTACCTCATTCTTACAGTTTCAATCACTCTGCAAGAAATCAAGGCAATATTTTTTACACTTGAAAAGTAACAGGGTTGAGGTTGATCTCTTCCCTCCTCAATCTTGCCACATCTACATAATCTACCAGTTTGGATGCTCCAGAAACATTTGGGATGATTTGATAAAACAATACGTCCACTTTGTTTGGAAAAACCTAAATATGCTCAGGGAAGATGGACGATGGCAAGCTGTGAAGATGACATACCTTCACACCGAGTACCTTGAAAGCCACTTGCACAAACACAAAGGAATCCACCACTTGCACCTTGGAAACAATTTCCACCATTCTGACAAGGTGATGACTGGCAGGGATCTGGCATAATGGTCACATACAAAAATTATGACAAATATTCAACTCAAGACTTGCACCAAATCCCTAACAAACTTAAAGATCACTAAAACTATTTCTTTAATATACTCCACTTTCATACTAGTACGATCTAGCTTATATATGCTGGGCTAGCTGTAAACTCTCACTGAAAACCTTGCAGAAGTAAGGTTTGCATTATTGTCAGAGATCAAAAGTGAAGAGGAATCAAAATGTCTTCAAATGTTTCAGTTGAATACCTAATTGAAGGAAGGGCCCAACTGCAACAAAATGTTTTTTTAGTTCAAAAGAAAAAGTGAGTATTTTTTGAAGGAGTTGAAAGTAAATCAATTAACTCTCCCAGGACAAAATGTGACATTGGGCCTTTCTTTAAAGAGGTATTCAACTGTTAACCTACCTGTTGGTGTATCACAGTTGGTTCCAGTGAAACCGGTGTTACATGTGCATGAATAGGAAGTACCATCTGTGCTAGAGCAGACTCCATTTTGACATGGGTTGCTTGAACAAGGTGCAGAAACTGAAACAAGGATATGTCTCAGGTTAAAATGTCAATTAAATTAGGAATGTTTTAAAACTTAACCCATTTTCTGTGCCACTTTAACTGAGGTTTCGGTACCAAAATATACTTGCAGAGCTGATTATTTTTTTATTTTCTTTGGAATCAATTAATAAGAGTAACAATTTTCAAAGATAATTTCAGCATAGAACCAAAATATGATCCATTTATACTAACCATTGTCTTGGAAACTCCCTTACCTCCACAATCAATTATTCTGGAAGAAATCAAAATTCTGTTTTTTTTTCTTTGAACAGTAAAAGACGGATCTCTTTCCCGTAAAATGTGATATATCAAAATTTTGGAGGCTCAATGTCAGGAGGGTTTCTAAAGACTCAGTTAAAAAGTACACATGATTCTATTTAAAAAAAATATGTGCTATGCACAGCTGGATATTGGAGGTATTTGAAGATGATATACCTTCACACCGAGTGCCCTGAAAGCCAGTAGGACAGTCACAAAAGAATCCACCACTTGCACTTTGGAAACAATTTCCACCATTTTGACAAGGTGATGACTGGCAGGGATCTGGCATATTAGTCACATACAAAAATAATGATTAATAGTTAACTCAATACTCACAGCGAATCTTTAACATAATTAAAGATCACTTAAATGATTTCTTTGATATGCATGCACTGCACATTCATACCAGAAAGATCAAAGGTTAAAGTTTATACAAGCTTGGCTAGTTGTAAACTTTCACTGAAAATCTTGCAGAAGTGAACCATGATTTGGTCTTGAGAAATGTCTTCAGACTACTGAATTGTTACCCTACCTGTTGGCATGTCACAGTTGGTTCCACTGAAACCGGTGTTACATGTGCATGAATAGGAAGTACCATCTGTGCTAGAGCAGACTCCATTTTGACATGGGTTGCTTGAACAAGGTGGAGCCACTGAAATAAAGATATAAGCGACTTAAAAAATGACAACTTTACCAGAGGTTTTTTTATAACTGAACACATTTTCTGCTCCAACTTTACTGAGGGGTTGGGTATGACATTAACTACCAAAGTGTACTTGCTGTAGAGGGGAGGGTGAGCATGGGGAACTAGTTCACTGTGAATTAACCGAGCTTCATTTGATAAAGTTAGCAATGTTCTTAGCATAATTTTCCTGACAAGCCAAAAATTGTTTTTCATTTCAACTCTACAGCAGTTTTATATTGGGATCTGCCTCACTTCTACAGTTTCAATCACTCTGCAAGAAATCAAGGCAAAATTTTTGCACTTGAAAAGTAACTGGGTTGATCTCTTCCCTCCTTAATCTTGTCATATCTACATAATCTAGTATTATGGAGGCTCCAGGAACTTGGGATGATTTGACAGAACAATACATCTAATTTGCACATCACAAAGGAATCCACCACTTGCACTTTGGAAACAAGTTCCACCATTCTGACAAGATGAGGACTGGCAGGGATCACCTGGCATAACTGTCACATACAAAAACATGCCAAAAACAGCAAATCACTAACAAAATTAAGGATCACCAAAGCGTTGATTTTAAGTCAGTAAGATCTAAGTTACAGCTTACATAATGCTGGACCTGCTATAAACTTTCACTGAAAATCATCCAGAAGTGACGCTGCTTCAAATTTCACAAGTCAAAAAACAAAAAGGATGTCATACACACACGTTTCAAAAAGAAGACCCTGGGTCCAAAATACCTTCTGGACCGGTGGACAGAGAACGGTGATTTTAATGCCAGTCTTGCGTCATCAATATTAGCAGAGCCCAGCACAATGTAATGGTTTTTGTAGCATATTTATCTACCAATTGTTTCAAACTTCTTTGTAAAAATGAAATCATTGGCCATGGCATTATTTAATTAGCGTCTGTACCTGAGCTACAATCAATCCCAGTGAAACCCGTGTTGCACATACAGGTATATGCCATGCCATCTGAGCTGGAACAAGTACCACCATTGTGGCATGGATTGCTCACGCATGGAGTGATTACTACAGAAAAAAAAGCAAAAAAAAAGCATCTATGTCTAAGTTCACTCTAACTTGCAAAATGTTTAAAAATGCAAACATATATCTAAACATTTGAACGTACAAATCACACATTTTGAGGAGTCTTAATGTGGGGAACCGAGAATCACCTTTTCCAAATCTGGTATCAAACATGCTGATTTGACATAAGCCTTGGAAGGAGACTAGTGCGTTTTGCCTTGTTACTCTTCTTTGTTTATTTTTACATTTATTAGTCCACTTAAGAAGTTAGAACCATATACCTGTACATTATATGTGGCCTTATTGTTAATATATTTACATTGAGTGAACACGCATTTACTGCTACGCATTAATTCGATGTCGCTGCATTGTGCTGCGAAAGGACACACATATATTCCATGTCTGGCTAACTGGGAGCTTTCTGATGAGGAGGCAGGCCAATCTTTTGCTCTTTGTGGCCCGTTTTTTCTCTGCACTTTGAACTGAGTCCCAAGTTCCAAGTGGACGGTAGAAAAGAGATTCTACAGAACTGTGCTGCCATCAGTGGCCATACATAGCTTATTTTCAGTTGGGGGTGCTTTTTGGCATTTCTTTTGTATCCTGGATGTGCCACGGCTAATAAAACCGAGCGTCAGTAAAATTCTTCTCCATGTGTGCCTTTGTCACCGGGGCTAAGGGAATCACTTCCCCTCCCCCGTCTCTGCTCAGGCAGTGATGACCCCGTAGACACTACATTAAGAAACTCAAATGCCACACAAACGTACATAACTATTAAAAACTCATTGGGAGCAACTTTTATTGACTGGCTACTTGATCAATGCGTCCATTATTCAGATACTTTGTTTTCTATTCAATCAATCAAAAACCATGCAAAAATGAAGGCTCCAGCCCCTTTCAGAAATCACAACAGAATGAGCAACACCCTTACAAAAATGTCCCATGCAGATCCCATGGGCATTCCATGGGCTGCCCATGGGACCCCATGTGTATGCCATGGGACTGGCAAAAAAATAATGTTGGTTGAAGTGATCACCATGAGACATTTTGTGGATACCATGGGAACACCATGAGGCTTTTATGATCAGCATGGGAACACCATGGGGTTTTTATAATCAGCATGGGAAAATAATGTAATTTGTATGCGGACACCATGGAAATGCCACACAAACACTATTCACATTTTTGCAATTATCAAGAGAACACTTAGAGGCTTTGTTGTATTGTAAACCACATTAGCTGCTGCCATTAAAATGCATTGGCATGAACACAGTTTGGAATGGAATGTTGATTTGATGACTGCAACTTTGCCCGTCACCATGACATGCACAGGACACTCACCATGGGATGCATGGGACAATCGCCATGGGACAAATGGAGCAACCACCATGGGACAAATGGGGCAACCACCATGGGATGCATGGGAAAATCACCATGGGACACAAGGGTAAATCACCATGGGACAAATGGGGCAACTACCATGACACAAATGGGGCAACCACCATGGGACGCATGGGAAAATCACTATGGGACACAAGGGTAAATCACCATGGGACAAATGGGGCAACCACCATGGGACAAATGGGGCAACCACCATGGGATGCATGGGAAAATCACCATGGGACACAAGGGTAAATCACCATGGGACACAAGGGTAAATCACCATGGGACGCATGGGTAAATCACCGTTGGATGTGCGGGAAAATCACCATGGGATGTGACAATTAAATCACCATGGGAATATTTTGGGAGATTACATGGGGTTCTTGAAATACACATGGGCAAAATCCCATGGGTAAAAATCCCATGCTACATGGTGGCCAATTCACCATGTAATCCCATGGGAAATTTCCCCATGGGATACCCTCATGGGACATTTTTGTAAGGGCAATCTCTCAAACCACGTAAGTAATGACATCTGACGGATCTCTTTCCTGTAAAATGTGATCTATCAAAATTTTGGAGGCTCAAAGTCAGGAGGGTTTCTAAAGACTCAGTTAAAAAGTACACATGATTCTATTTAAAAAATATGTGCTATGCACAGCTGGATATTGGAGGTATTTGAAGATGACATACCTTCACACTGAGTGCCCTGAAAGCCAGCAGGACAGTCACAAAAGAATCCACCACTTGCACTTTGGAAACAATTTCCACCATTCTGACAAGGTGATGACTGGCAGGCATCTGGCATAATAGTCACATACAAAAATAATGATTAATAGTTAACTCAATACTCACAGCGAATCTTTAACATAATTGAAGATCACTTAAATGATTTCTTTGATATGCATGTACTGCACATTCATACCAGAAAGATCAAAGGTTAAAGTTTACACATGCTTGGCTAGTTGTAAACTTTCACTGAAAATCTTGCAGAAGTGAACCATGATTTGGTCTTGAGAAAGGTCTTCAGACTACTGAATTGTTACCCTACCTGTTGGCATGTCACAGTTGGTTCCACTGAAACCAGTGTTACATGTGCATGAATAGGAAGTACCATCTGTGCTGGAGCAGACTCCATTTTGACATGGGTTGCTTGAACAAGGTGGAGCCACTGTAATAAATGTAAAGGCAAATTGGTAAGTATCCTTAGACAACCAATGCACAGTACTATGTTAAAAGAGAATGGACTTACTAACAGACTGATTGCATGCTTTTGCCATGTCTTGTGCCAAAAAGACCCCCTTGGGATCAAAAATAAACTGCAGTATTTGGGGGAAACTGTTTCCCAAAGATTTCTCTTGCAAACTTGTTTGGTTTTCATTCCGTTTCTAAAGTGCTATACCAACAGAGGCCTGTCATAGTAGGGCCTATTGTACACACTATCTGGCCCAAACAAATTGCCGAGTTTGTTGTGCTGTGACATGTTAGTGGTGTAATGAAAGTCTGTCAGGCTGCTGTGGGGCAAGTCTCCCACCCTTCCCCTTCAAGGCTGTCCCCCCAGTTAAGTCGGGCTAGCCCAGGTGGGCTTCCTGACCGTACTACATGTATGTTACTCAGTTGTAATGCGATGAAGACTGGCTAACAGCCTGGGGTGGATTTGGATATTTTCATGCCCCTTTGGTAGGCACTTTGGTCACTTTCACCATCGGCACAAGGGGGGTTGAAATGGGGGAAAGATATCTTGAGTAACTTAAACCATAGCCTAATGCTCATGACATCTGAAAACCCAGTTACAAGCTCCCTGATATCATGACTGCGCATAAGCCTGAGGGCTTTGGTTACTCCATTTGAGCTAGGGACAGTGACTGAGAAGTGAGGGAAAGACAGGCCGCATCATGGCTAGGAGCATTAGGCCTAAGAGTTCCATATATGGATATCACTAATTTTCCCTTGCATTGGTTTATCAATAATAGCCATCAGATTTCTGAAAACAAACAACATGTCCTGGACAGTCAAATTTAGAAAGGAAAATATTGAAGCATTTCCTACTTTGAAGACACTTAGAATTCTCAGGCCAGTACCACAGCCTAGTTTGTGCACAGGGCCTAAAGTTGTGTCTGTGTATGGAACTCCTTCCAATTGCTAGTCTAAAGCCTACTTCTGGGGAATTATATATTTTGGGACCTCAGTTTTATGTCATTTTAATCTTGTAAAACTGGTCTGTCCCCAAAAGGCAAAGGTACTCTCTTTATTGCGCTGACCCTATTCTTGGGAAATATCGAATTGTAAATTGTGAGGAAATGTGGCTTTCTTACCGATAAACCAGCCATGCAAATTTGAATCCACCAGCATGTTTGCCCTGCTGATTTCTCTCAAAAGTCAAAACCCTGCCCTCTTTTCACAACATCCACCCTAGGGTTATTGAGCATGATGTCACAGTCGTTTACCAAGGTGAATCCAAAACTTAAAATAAATATATTAGCCTAGGTCTCCCTTTTATAATAGGAACGGGGTCCCCAAATGTACCACCCTCCCCCCACTTTTTTTTATCAGTTTCCTTGCCCTAGCATTTATAACTATGATAGTCATATAACAGCGGACACTGGTATCAATGATCCTATAGCACTGGCGCCATACTCATAGTCCAAATATTTAAAGGTGATTCGCAGATTAATAGGCCTACGAAGCGTACGCTTTGCTCAACATTCGGCTTCAACGAAACTGGCGTAAGAAAACATCTTCAAACATGGGGGGGAAAGAAGCATGTGTATAAAGTAAAGTAAAAACCCTGAAATGACTGCAACTTTTATACTCTCAGCAAAAATGTTTTACAATCTAAGTTTTTAAATCTGTCCGTGTGCCGCCTGTCATATTTTGGCCAAAATGCTGCGCGTGCTGCACATCCCGCGCGTATACCTTGTAACGATGCCTTTTACGCACTAGCGGTCGCAAGGACTGGCGTTTTGGAGATTTTGATTGGTTAATGAAAAGGGCAAAAACCCCACTCGTTTGCAGTTCAAGGGATGAAACCTCAGTAGATCACTTTTCCTCTTTTCTCCGTGGGCCTATAAACAAAACAAAATCACCGCGGCAGGTGAGGGCGACTCAAAGGTTTTATTTTATATATGAACATCATCACTAACCCGTGACTGTTGTCTCGATGTTTGTCCAAAATGTCGAAAAGTTTTGAACAACAGAAACCCTGCATGAAAATGGGAGGAAAAAATAAATGTAGTTATAATGGATAGGGGCAGGATCATTGAAATAGTTTACCTGCGTTGTAAAATCTATGAGAGCATCAAACTCCAAATTCGGCCTGATCAAGGGTCGTATAATATTTTTTTAATTATTATATTATTATTTATTTTGATATTTGTTACAGTGCAATGTGATCCAAGGCGCATGGATCGGTGGCGTAACGAAGGCATATTTTGTAGAGCACTTGGGGCCCACATTTTCCGGAGGAGACACTCAGTGGCCTTGGTCACGGTTGGAACACTGACCAGAGCGGACTATCAACATTTTTTTCCCTCTCTTATAATCTTCGCTGGGAGGGGAACACATAATGGCCCCGCATGGGCTGTAGCCGGGGGTCCATACCCTCTTTAGTTATGGTGCGGATACCATGACAGTTCACCCAGATTCAAATGTAGTGTGGGAGAAGTTATCGCATCGCATTCCCCCTACCACCACCACCATCACCATCAGATATCACCGCTGAAAAATGGCCGGACAAGTTCACGTACTACATAGTATACAGTGAGTGGACTTGCACTATTGTTTCAATTTTTGCAAAATGTGGTCAGTTCTCTGGGAGTGCCATACGACTCGTTGAGATCCTGATATATTTTTGCTGGGAATGACAAGAGTCACGGTGGTCAAGGGTCATGGTGTGGCTAGCCGCAGTTTTTTATCCAAATTTGATTGCTTAACTTCATCATTCTCGTGATTTTTATTGATCATCTGGTTATTTTAACCGTCATGGTTTAGTTTTCGGTGACTCGTGAACTTCTGATATTTTCAAGGAGAAATGAGTGTTTGTCAATCCCCTACACCTCAACAATTCAGCCAGACTAAGCCCTGCAGCTTCCAGCCTGGACTCATGTGGTATATTCAGGTGTACCTTTTATGGAGAAAGTATCTCTTCGTACCTATTTTATCCATTGTTGTTGATTTGAAATTTTTGATGTGTAGATTTTATTTACGCAAAACATGTGCCGCCATATCTTGCTTCAGGATTTTTGTATCGTCTCTGCAATAAATCCACCAGTCTTGCCGGGCAATATGAGTTCAGAAAAGAATTCAAAACCATTCTGGAATTACCTTGAAACTGAAGAAGGGAGGTGACTGGATAATCAACACTACACACTGCCAATGGTAGATTTGCATCGTCCACTACAGATAAAGCCCACTCTCTCTAAACGATCAGTTCTGTTCAGTTTTTACTGGCAAGGTCATTAGCAGTGTTCCTAGTAATAACTCTCGCTCTATATCATATATATGGATGCAGTCACAGGAAGAGTTTTACGAGACTGTGCTGAAAGTATTTCACCTGTTCTCACCAAGATTTTCAATAAATCTCTTATAACTGGCTCACTTCCTGAAGACTGGCTAAATGCAAATGTAACGCTACTTTAAAAAAAAAAAAAAGAAGATAGATCCAATCCAGCAAACTGCCGTCTTGTTTCCTCGACTTTGATTACATGCATATGCAAACTTCCTGAACGCATTATCCATCGTTATATAATCAATCATCTGGATCAGTTTAATATACGACGTGACAAGCAACATCGATCTAGCAACCACTGTGGACTCAAAAGGCCAGGCTATGGATTTCAGCAGGGTGTTTTATATAATGCCCCACTATCACCTGCTGCATAAACTCAACGCTGTTAGTATCGGAAATCATGTTCTTACCTGGATTGAGAATTTAACAAAACGTCATCAACGAGTCATTATCGAATGGGCCTCCTCTAGCTCTAATGAGGCAAAATTTACATCAGGATTGCCCCAAGGGTCAGTATTTGGCCCACTGTTGTTTTTGATATACATTAGCCTAATTATCTACCGGCTGGTATCAAGTCCAAAATTACGTTCTTTGCAGGCGACTGCATTTTATACCAAGAAAGTAAGTCTCAAGATGACCAAGCGACCCTCCAAGCAGATATTGGTCGCATCACAGCATGGGAGAAAAAAGTGGCAGAAGTCCTTCAACAAGTCAAAATACGATGAGAGTTACCCATGACTCCAGATTTCTGCTTACACTGTGGATGGTATCCCATTAGTAGAGGTTATAGCTGCCCATATCTCAGAGTTAAAATTTCTGGAGATCTTAATTAGCTGGGCATCTCATGATGTCAAGTCACCTGCCTATAAACCTTTAGTACGCCCTAGACTTGCATACTGCAGTGCAATCTGAAACTCTCATCACCAGACTCAAGCTAATGTAATTGAAAGGATCCAGAACACGACCGAAGGTTTTGTTACAAATGCTTATAGTCGTCAAAGAAGCACAACAAGCTCTTATTCGGGAGCTGGGATGGGACACTCCTCAAGACCGACGTACCAAATACAGACTCTAGAAAGCCATGGTCTAATTACCACCAAAACCACCTTGAAAATGCACAGGCTAGTGGCCTGAGGCATTGTCAAAGCATTGTCTTATTGCCATATAATATATGATATTAATTAGATTGATAAAACGTCATGAAGTCTCACAACCTGTTACGTGTAGTGAACTTGCTGGATGCGTGGATGACAACATCCCATGATAAATTATCTGGGGATGTCATTATCCAACTTTTACGATATCGCCAACCCGTGATAATGTATCTCAGGATGTCGACATCTTGCCTTTATTATGTCGTCTCCCGGAGAGTGAGAAAATATGTCAGGATCTCAACAAGTCAGATGGCACTTCCAAAGCTCCGAAGTAGTGTTAGGTTTATTTTATTGTTGCATTTCGTATCACATACTGACAATTTAAACCAACCACATGGGGGAGCGGGTTAGCGTAGCGGTTCTTTCCTCGCTTTGCACCAACGAGGCCCGGGTTCGAGTCCCGGCTTGGCCCAGGCCTTAAGTGCATTTGGTTTCCAGTCCATACTCGCTCTCGCAGGTTTTCTCCGGGCACTCCGGTTTCCTCCTGCCTCTAAAACAGGACCTTCTTCCTAACTCCGTAATGTGATGTTGATTAATAAAGTGTATGAATAAACATACAGTTATTGGCGCAAATAGCCTGAGTAGCTGAAAGCGGCCTATACTCACAAAAACCGGACGTCCCCGACTGACTGGGTAGGTGCGTTCCACGTAAAAAACACCGGTAGTGACTTGTCTATACCGTCGGTGTGAGTGACCGTCGATTGATCCCCGGCGCCGGAACATTCCACGTACTGGTAACCACCACCAGCCGGTAGCATCCAGGTGCCTACCCTTGTACCGTCGCTAGTCCGGCGGGCTTGCAAGATCATGCCCCGGAAGGTGGTGGACGCCGGATTTGCATTGACGCGAACTGCACAATAAGTGTATAAATTCAAAACCCATCTTAATGAAGCATATTGGGTCTGTGAGCTTGGGCAAACATTAATCTTTCGTACTTTACACTCTATGCAGCTCTGTATTAACTTGGATCAAGTGTGAAATCAGAAGTGCATCCATCAGACTATCTGCTCTTAAGTTAAAGTTAGTTTCATATTTGCGCGGCTACGCTACAAGCTAGGTTCTGCACTTTTGTCTATTGCAATTTTAACACGGAGTGGCCATCCCAGTTCATCGGAATACATCAAACACATATAAAAACTATAATTGTACGTGAAGTTACTGCAGTTTGTTTTTCAAATAGGTGCTCGATGATTAAGAAATCATGGTATCGGCTAAAGAAACAATCGACCGGAAATGATTAACGAATCGATGTAGAGGTACAACTGATGTCTTGCAAAACGTTTCATTAAACAAATTTCATTACTTTGGTGGATAAAAAACTTTCTTACATACAGGATGCATAATTTACAGAATTTTTTTACACGCGGTCACCTTATTGTGAGAGTTGAAAAAAATATTTGCTCCAAAGAATTCTAAAAATTATAAGGCAATTGAAGAGTCTTATTTGAGGCTCTGCGGTATGGTGCACAGGCAAGGGTTCTGTGAGTTGCATCATGGGGCCGGGAACCCTGTCTTTTAGGAAGAGGTGTCGGCTCGTATAAGAGCCGGTGACGAGTAATTTCTCGAAGTCTCGAATAGCGTGCTGTGTTTGTGTTTAGGAAAGACATTACATATGTTCCCATTATGTTGCCGCAAAGAACCCTTCCCTGATATTGAAAAGATCCCCCAAGAAAGATAAATACTTTCCTACATGACCTCTGCAAAAAATTAAGGCCGGCCTTTTTTTAACCGCTTTGCAGTTGAATAAAGTTCGTGAAAGAAAATATTATCGAGTTTGGCAAACCAGACTTCATTTTGTGACGAAGCCCCGCACGCATGAGGTGCTGCTTTCAAAGGGTTCCGTCCCAGTGGCAGCCTTGGCTGCCTGCAGGGGTATGTTGTATCCTTGCTCCATTCAGAACCCGTAACCGTCTACACCCGAGTTGAAATTTGGCTTTGAAAACAACTTCACGGAAATGGTTCTAACTCTGTTGGATTGACGACTGTATTATTTCCATAACCTGGGACATGTTTTTCAACTTTAAGGGAACTCTGCCCTTTCCAAAATTTAAGAACACTTGTATGAAAAGAGAACTTAAACCAAAACGATAATGAGTTTTAATACTTCTCAAGCTCGATTAAAACTTAATTTTCCAGCATCTTAATTTTCAGAAGTGACTAATTTTCAGTACACCGGCAATACGGGCGATTCACAATCGTGCACCTCCAAGAGATTGCAACGCGTGCCAAACACGATACGCGAAATCTGTGTACCCAATGCAAGTTTGAAAAGGGTTGACAGATATCACGCCTTGTGATTGGCCAACATGTTGCAAACTCTTGAAGGCGCACCATTGTGAATCTACTGCATTAATCTGACACTTTGCCATCATGTTGCCTATTTATACATTTGATTTCTCATTAGTCAGCTCACTTATCAGTTAATTTCCCAATCATATACCGACTAAATCATCTTAATAACAATCATGTAATAATAGCAAGCATGGGGTTTATATCAGTGTTTGCACTCTGTATTACTGTGGCGCTTGAAGGTGTCAGTAGAAATAGGATATGGTTTTCATCGGCAAAAACCTAATATAAGGGATTTTCCTCAAGAATATTTTCAACACGCTTATGAAAATTTGAAATTTTCTTTAAAAAAGCAGTCTTCGAAAGTTGGTTGCCATCTACAACAAACCCCAAATGTTCCTTAAGTTAGCTTTTCAAAATTCCACTGGAATGTTAAGCTGCAAAGACCTCCAATAATTTCAGTTAAAAGACAAAAATCGAGGTGTTTCCTCGGCGAAATATCGTGAAATTCCCCTGCTTTCAGAGATGAGAACCTAGGCAAGAGGTTCCGTTTTCAAGGCTACACCAGCGCTTATAATTACTAAGTGGGAGTTTGTCTATAGATTTACTACTGTCTTAAATATAATAACCATTAGACAAGTAAAAGCCTGTTTAATTAACGAAAAAATTCAAGAACAGAGTTCTGAGAGGTAATTTTTCCACGTATTTCTATCATGAAAATAACTTTAATTGAGCTAATGAAATTTTATTGACCGTGCTGATCACAGAAAAAAATACTTACAGCAGAAACGGGTATCGGCTAAAATGCCAGCACACAGCGGCTCTCTGCTAAGTCAATTTACTAAAAATCTATAGTGCTTTTTTTTCTGTTTAGATGGTCTATGAAACTGTGCTTTAATCATCTTGAAATGGTAGGCCTACAACACCTGATTATACAACCATGCTTGGCGATGGTGCTTGTGCTCCTTCCATTATAGTGGTGATTGATAATAATTACCGTACGGTGCAGATCACGGTAATAAGTGATGATGGAATGAGAGAATATAATGATATGAACGTGACTGTGCTCTCCCATCATATCCACCTGATACCGTATATAAAATGTAAAAATTTCCTCATTGTTGCTGAGGTTGACGGATGCACCTGCTCTAATTGATTGAACCTCCCAGTGCAGGTGTAACAGGTTACCATTGCTTATTAACATAGGCAACAATGCCGCTTAGACTGCTCTACTGGTTTACCGGTATGCTGCTATACTATGGAATATCTGCCGTCGCCCGTCGTGCGTCGCCCGTCGTCCGTCGTTTTTTTTGTCACGATTGCGCAGTGGTATTTTTAACTTTGACCCTTGATCGTTTTACATGTACATGTCCTTGTTTGATCGATCCACCATGCCTGACTCTTATTTTAGCAACAGAACTAGAAGATGTACATGTATTTGTTTTTGCAGTTGCGCCGAACTCCACTTGAAAGAAGAAATAATATCCTGTTAGGGTAGATTGTTTTTCTCGATAACTTAGTTACTCTAGACGTGACTTTACTCATTAACGGCCTGAC